TTATTAGGCTCTCTTTCGCTTACTCCTTTCACACTTCACTCTTCGCTATTCCCTACCTCCTAATCCCCGTCTATTTCTCTCTCCTACTCTCCGTCACTCCCCCCCCCCCCGAACCCCCAGTCTTATCCCTTCTGGCAACTACACTTTATCCCCTTTTTTCCATAATTCCACACGCTTTCTTATGTTCTTCAATTTTTATCTAAAGTTTCCGCCCTGTTTCCCCCAGTACACAGTACTGGGGGAAACAGTACTTACAGTACTTATCATCTACTTTATTCTTACAAACCCTTTCCCTAATTGTATTTGGGTACTTGCTCGATACCTGCTTGATGGGGTTCTGGGAGTTCTTCTACTCCTCAAGCTCGGCCAGAGGCCAGGCTTCGGGAATTCAATTTGGAATTGGGTAATTCAAAACGCTTTATATCTTTGTATCAATGGTCTCACTGTCTTTGGTGATGTAACAGGTCACATGTGTGGGTATCATGCTGGTGGTCAGTAAGCTGTATTGTTGCCATAATAATCATCCATAGATTGCTAGACGTTAAACCACACACCAAATCAGTGACAATGTCTACGTTCAATGCTGTTATTGTGACACTTTTACGTAACGAATGTACTGTACTTTCATGTAAAGTGTTACAATTATAAATGTACTACCATTTACGAAAAAAGTACTTGATTGACATATTCACTCACAGGATGAGTGACGCTGCCCAAGAAACTCGCCCTTAGGGGGAAAAGTTTAAACATAACATGTAAAAAAAAAAAAAAATCCTACCACTACCCGCACTCCATCACCTTACCCAATCTGTATTTCCCCCCCCCCAATTCCCCCAATCCCCCCTCCCCAGGTTTCCCCGCCAGCCTCCTCAAAACTTCTCCCTGTCACACCTCCTTCCCCTCCACATCCCACTAAACTTCTCGCCTTCCCTTCCTTATCGTGTGAGAGGGAGTCGCAGAAAGAGAGAATGGGGGAGAGAGGGGCGGTGTTTGTGAGAGTATTAGCACGGAAGTCTAGCTTGAGACGTGAGAGAGAGTGCTCCATAAGATAAGGTTATGGAGGAAGGGGGAGAAGGGGGGGGGGCGTGGGAATCTCTTTCCTGAAGAATATGTGTTGTGGATGCGTGTGAATATATAATATATATATATATATATATATATATATATATATATATATATACATATATATATATATATATATATATATATATATATATATATATATATATATATATATATATATATATATATATGGCATGGATAGATGGATACATGCATGTTTGGATTGTTTTATTGATGGATTAATGCTTAGATGGTGGGTAAAGATGAACGGGTGTTTGAATGAGTGGAAGATGAATAGATTAATTATTGATTGTCGTTAGGTTGTATGGCTGTTGGTATGGATTAGTCGATTGGGCACCTGACAGCTGGGTGGACAGCGCTTCGGATTCGTAGTCCTAAGGTTCCGGGTTCGATCCCCGGTGAAGGCGGAAACAAATGGGCAAAATGTTTCTTTCACCCTGATGCCCCCTGTTACCTAGGCCTAGCAATAAATAGGAACCTGGGAGTTAGACAGCTGCTACGGGCTACTTCCTGGGGATGTGTAACAAAAAGGAGGCCTGGTCGAGGACCGGGCCGCGGGGATGCTAAGCCCCGAAATCATCTCATCTCTCAAGAAGATGGATGGTGACTGGTAGGATATCTAGGCTTAGAGGTGTATGGACAAGTCAATACAGTGGACCTCCCTGGTGGACCAAACTCTCACAAGTCAAGCCTGGCCTCGGGCCGGGCTTGGGGAGTAGAAGAACTCCCAGAACCCCATCAACCAGGTATCAACCAGGTACACGGTTAGGAAAGTGGATCGATAGATGGCTGTGTAGAACCATCTACTCCCCGAAGCACTAAGCCAAAATGCTGCTACAATTTAATTAAGATCCAGCTCATTTTTCCATTTCATTTATTTATTATGCACCCCATACCCATCCCGTGGGAGGTGGTGGAAAGGGTTCCAGCTCGATATAATCATTATGACACATAGAGGGACCTTTGACAAGCCGCCGGCTTCTTGTGCTCGTCAAGGCCACTGGAGAGATTGTGGCTTTCGGGTAAATTCAGGTAAATATATTTCTTAACATGTATGACTGGATATGTAAGTTGATGGATAAATGAGAACATGATTGGATTAACCAACATGAGCATGGTCATGACCCAGACTATTTTACCCCATAACATTCACATTTGGACTGTCTGGGAAAAATGTTTTATCACTGAGTGGCAGAACCACAGTCGTATATTAGACTGTTCTCAGCTAACATCTATCCATGAATTAAAGTGCACATTGACAGTATTTGTGATCCATATAACATTACCATATTATCTAGGTAATCAACTGATTACCTGGATCTTAATATGACTATTATCATTGATTGGTCGTTGAGGTGCAAGTCCCGTGCTCACCACACACTCACACCTTCACAAAACACTCGGGAGAGTGCGAAAGACTTGGTGTAAATTCTTTACATCAAATTCACAAATACATAATATTGAATAAAATCCCACACTTATCACTGGTAATAATTATATTATTAATTATTACCAGTGGTAATAATCACTGGTAATAATTATATTATTAATTATTACCAGTGATAACCTCTCACGTTGACAGTGATACACATATGCCAGTGATCCAGGTGTGCCAGTGATCCAGATATGGCAGGTGTTCTAAACTACACCTGTACCTCTTCTGCAACACTGCACGTTCTGAATGTCAATAAATTATTATTACTAATGTCAACATTTAATATATGAGTGTGAGCATATGGCCAGCATGTACGCTGGTGGCACACTGAGCACTGGACGATCATGTGATGTCACAGCACCGCCTTGGAGACGGGCAGGCCTGGGATGCAAGTTCGAGCCTATTTAATTGCCTTAATATCTACTCAAGGCAGGTATCTCTCAACGCAGGCCGACCAGTTGAGGGTTCATAAACTGATAAGTAGATATGGCAAGAAAAGATAACAAGGCGCGTGAAAGATCGGACCCAGGAGCTAGAGTTGCAGGCACAAAGAGATGTGTAGGTATAGTTGAGTACACATATATGCCCAAAGACACTTAACTACTCAACAACGATCATCATTGTAAACATCTTCACTAAATACCGACATCATTTCTGTACCAATCATCACTATCAGGCATGACTGTGTGCCCCACCCACAAACTTCCCTCTCCTTCATCACCTTCTCTATCCCCTCACCATATTTCCTACCTCTCACCACTTTCCGTCACCATCACCACCTTCCCTACCCTTCACTCCAGTCCCAGGAAGTACCCTTCACCACCTTCCCGACCCTTCACCAATTTCCCTTCATCATTGTATATCTATATAAATATAAATATATATATATATATATATATATATATATATAAATATATATATATATATATATATATATATATATATATATATATATATATATATATATATATATATATATATATATCCATTTCACTATGTATGAGTTAAGTTCTTGTAATTTGGGGTTAAACTAACGTAGATATATGACCGAACCTAACCAACCCTACCTAACCTAAACTAACATAACTAAGTCAATAATTAATATTCTTAAAATAATATAATAATAATATTTCATGTAAACCAATTGGACACAATATTTTGAAAAATAAAGCTCACTCAGCTTATTAGGCAAATCGGGCCTTGCATAATAGGCCGAGAAGTGCGTTCTGGCTACTAGGTACGACATTGTTTATATATATATATATATATATATATATATATATATATATATATATATATATATATATATATATATATATATATATGTGTGTGTGTGTGTGTCTGTGTGTGTGTGTGTGTGTGTGTAAATTACGAAAAATAAACACGTGATTAAAAATGTGACAGTGTCAGACCACGGAGGAAGAATTGAAACAGGAATTTCCTTAAGTACTTTCGTATATTAATACATTTTCAGAAAGAGAAGTAGTCTTCAGTAGTCCTTCTGAAGATGAATTAATATACGAAAGTACTTAAGGAAATTCCTGTTTCAATTCTTCCTCCGTGGTCTGACACTGTCATTTATATATATATATATATATATATATATATATATATATATATATATATATATATATATATATATATATATATATATATATATATATATATATTAATAGGTCAATGATTACGTATTTATGTAACGTGCATTTACTGCAAACTCATGTCAGTGATTCATTATTGCCAAATGTATTAGTATTAGGACAAGGACTATTATTAAAGAACAATTTTACATATTTTATAATTTACCAGAGTAACAGAATTCGAATGTTTGTTTCTTTAAATAAATACTAGCATATAGTGGGCATTAGCAGCCGAGAAAAGGAAAGGAAAACCCATCCCCAAAATTACTTTGGAGATTCGCAAACTTCGACCGGAATTTCCAATGAATCTCTCTCTTCGTGGAACATTCAGTGACCTCTAATGAACCGCTTGTTGACATTTTCCAGAATCCATACAGTAAAAGAGAAATGCTCGCCCGACTTCCATGAAGAGCTGACTCATGGCATCAGGAATGTTAGCAGCAGCAATAGTAGTAGTAGTAGTAGTACTACTACTACTACTAGTAGTAGTAGTAGTAGACCAGTAACTTGCGTCTACTGCTGTTGGTTACGCGTCGCAAAGTAGTGCGGCTACAAACAGCTTGAATTGTGTGATAAAATGACATTTCTATGGATAATTCCTTATCAAAACAGTATAAACTAATGTAGGTTTATCTAGTGTAAACATTATATCCCTAAATATACTTTAACTAAGAATATATAGTTTCATTATGGCAACTCAACTTTAGTAAACCGATTGGAGATCTCTCGTATGGCTATGACGTCGGAGGTGGGCGGGGCTAACTCATGACGTAGCGGCAAAGGGGGTGGGGCCTCAGGCCAGAACTTGGCGCGAGCTTATTTCTGTACTGACTGCTGTTGTGTGAGTGTTTAGTTAAAGTGTAGACTCTGACGTGGTAACACGCACGTCGTGCGATCGTGCACTGTGTTCCTTCCTCGCAGAATCTCGTGGATTATATACTGTATTCTTCAAGTGACATTCCGAGTGGTGACTGAACTTTTTACTCAAAGCTTCTAGTGAAGGTGTGTTCTCTACCTAGCAACGTGGTAGATGCTTTATTTATGGAATTTAAGGCAAATAAGCACTTTTTCCCGTATATGTCAGTGATAATGATGTTATGTGATGGGTCATGAACATTTTGAGTGTAAATATATGGACAATGCAACTTCACAATAAGTGACTGAACCAATAAACACGTGGAGTGTGTATGGGTGATGGTGTCATTGAACGTTTGTTGTTATTATTGTGTGTATGGAGTTATTGACACCACCCAAGGCGTCGCTCACCCTCTACAGGAATAAGTTGCTTAGATTTTTGGGGGGCCGAATGTTCCTCAAACGAAATATATATATATTTTTTTTAACTTAAAGCTTCTAAATTGGACCGAGGAAATAGGCACAAAATGAGATTAGTTTTAAAATAGGTGTTGAAGGGGGCCTGTCACAGTCAGTCAGCTAACCCCGCCCTTTTCCTAGCAGGCTTTGACGCAAAACGCAAGTTCAATACGCGCGCTCGCGATAGTTCACGATCGCGGCATACCTCGACATTTTGACGCTCCATGTGTAGTTTTTTAAGCATGCTACCTTCCTTAGTAAGTCTACGTTTTAGGAGCTATCATAGGTTTCGTTCTCTTCCATAGGAAAACTTTGTTTGGTTCGATGCTGCAAGCCATTGGTTAAGTTTTTGTTGTTGACAGTTCAAGTTTGGCGGCCAGAATGATGTCATGATATAATTGCTGGCCACTTTAGACTACTAACTGCATTAAGTGTATACTACTGAACGGTGGTACAGAACTTAACTGAGTGTTAGTACCTTTACTTTTCTGACTTATAACTGTAATTTTCAAATATTATTACTGTACTTAACTGACTGTTTACATTTTACTAATACTTTACTGACTGTTTACATGTTACTAATACTTTACTGACTTTACATTTTGCTAATACTTTATTGACTGTATGATACCTTACTATTTGAAGACTTTACTCATTGTACTATACGCTACTTTACAGACTTAGGATATTTTCGGTTTGTAATAAGATGACAGTTTGTAAGATTTGCTGATAATTACTAGGAATATCCTCGTTACCTTACGCTTGTGTTAATTTTCGTGTTAATTAATTTAGCAATGTCAGCTTAGCAGGCTATTGGTAACTAGTGACAGTTTAACGAGTTTTGGCAATGTGACAGGTTACACTGCATAACCATTTTTGTTTACAATGATTCTAGTTTACTAATAGTTTCACTAATGCTTGTATTGTTCAATATTTTGTATTTGTAATGATCTATCAGTTAAGTTGACCAGACCACACACTAGAAGGTGAAGGGACGACGACGTTTCGGTCCGTCCTAGACCATTCTCAAATCGACAATCTACTTGAGAATGGTCCAGGACGGACCGAAACGTCGTCGTCCCTTCACCTTCTAGTGTGTGGTCTGGTCAACATAATTTAGCCACGTTATTGTGACTCATCGCCTGCTATCAGTTAAATTATAGTTCATCAACACAACTGATTTGCCAGTATTAAAAAAGTTAAAATGTTTATGCATGTGCAAATTTGACTTTCCTGTGAGAGGGTTTAGACTTTTCTTTACAAGGTACGACTTTGCGCATGAATGAATTTTACAAATCTTATCTTGCGCGTTTGTAAACAATAGCCCAGCACTTTTTTACGCGCTCTCCATGCATGACAGTGTTGCAAATGTGACCAGAGTCTTCGTGCGTAAGTGTTGTTTACAGTTACGCAAGGTCTCCAAGCATCGCTCTTTACTCATTATATATCAGGTTAACTGCTTTACGCTATTATTATTTTAATTTATTAAAGAGCATCGTTCGCCGCCACGAATTAGTTTAAAATTTAGAAAATTTACAGCTTCATGCATGAGAGACTTCATAATTTTATTAGCCTAATGATAAACCGATGATAAGTTTTTTATTTTTTAAAAATTAACTAATTTCAACTAAAATCCAATTAAGCCGCAGCTCGTACGTGTTATACTTGATATATTTACATTAACGCCAGTAATGATATTTTCTTCACGAGTGAACGATTTAATCTACGCAATGATAGGTATCTTTCCAATTTAAATAATTTCTTTAACTGTAATAAGATCGGCAGTGAATGCATACGTCTATTGATGGGAAAGGAATTAGTGCGATTGATTTTATTGATAACGAATGAACTAGATAACGCCTGGTTAAGAAGGAAGACTGAATGTGGAAGGCATATATATTTTTTTACTAGCAATAATAAAATATAAAACTTTCTCAAACGATTAAGACAAGTAAAGGTTCCTTAACTATTAAGACAGTGAAAGTTTCTTAGACGGTTAGGGTTCCTTAAACAATTAAGAAGTGAAAGGTGTCATTCACTCATAACGAAGACACTGAATGTTTTACTAATAGACTAGCAAATGATTTCGTTGGCCGATATAGTATTCAGTGTCCATATTTTCCTCTATTTTTGATGACTTTATGTAATAATGCCGCCAGATTAAATTTGGGTTTGTTGTGTTCATTGCCTTTGTAATCCAAGACGGCCATTTAAAGCTCCACTCCGCGATAGTGTTTTGTTTGTGCTCTAGAGACAATAAATCGTTGCCATTGTCTTATACAAGACAAGAAAAGTATACATGAAGAGTCTTCATTCCAAGTTATTTTGTATGTTCTCTATAGTATTGTAGTTTTCACGCTGTGTATATTTACTAGTATTGTTCTTATTATTATTTATATAAATTTTGGCGTTTTCGTCCTTGTCGTTTCTCGTCTGATGGGAGTCATGTGTGAGGTAATGTGAAGTGGGAGGAAGAAAGCTCGTGAGAAAATGTTTTAGGGGAAATACACTCCTTTAAACAGAAACAAATTTGTTTGAAAGACGGTAGAAGCATGTTTAAAAAATGACAACAGAAAAACTTTCTTAAGAGGTAGTACAAAAAGTTATTTGCGAGATAAATGTCACTTGAGAAGTGTTTGGGTGAATGTGTTGGAGAGTGGGGTATAACAATGGTATATGTTGTCATCATACTATACCTATCTGTCTATCCAGAGTATACAAATGTTGTATACTAGTGTCCAACAATATTGTATACAATATTGTTAGTTCTAAATAGAATGTGTACCATTGAAAGCACAACTTTGGTGCTTATTTTTGTGGCTATGAAGATTATAGCCTACTCAACGAGTTTGTGAATGAGTCCTAATTTAGGCATGTTAAAGTTTGTTATACCGTTATTCATACAGTGTCAGCCCGCGATGAATGTGTGTATATATCACCATAAAAGTCATGTCCAAAACACGTTGTGAGGGGGGTATAAAATTTGACGTAACTGCCGAAGTATTAATCTTGTATATCTCAAAACTATAGTGTCACTTTTTTTTATCCATTATGTTGTTTACAGTTTCCTACGTCATTTTTTATTATTTGTTATTTTACTTGTATGTATACAAGAAGGTAGGATGAGTTGTGAAAGTATACATGTCGGTGATGAAAATGATATAATATATATCATTGCTTTTTATGGTCGCCTTACTTATTTTGTTTGCTTCTGCACGATACCAAGAGTGGAGTGTTCATGGCCTTGCTGTCTGTATCACCACTACTGAGCGATGCCACGAGTCTACTGGCGCCCCAGACAAGTCACGTGGGGTGGTGGGGGTTTGATGGCATGGGTCGGGTGGAGTGAGGGGGGGTGTTGTTACTTGTCAAACGTGCCCATGAGCAGGGGTGGGGGGTTAGGCGCAAGGTAGAGGGGGCTGGTGTTACTGGCGTTGGCATCAGTGAAGGATGTCAAGAGTTGCACCGTGGCACGTTATTTTTTTTCTTAAAAAGAGATAGAGAGAAGAAAGAAGAGGAAGGGATGAGAAGGCTTTGTTATTATTATCATTGACAGCACTGAGGTGGTAACGTTGAAAGAACACAAGTTCATGGAGAGCCTGTTGGAACCGAGCGGAAGAGGGATGTGTTGGTAGAGATACGAGAGGAAGCGCCAAGGAATAGGTGAGACGAAGGGTGGGCTAGGAAGAGCAAGAGGAGTGACGTAGTAACGCTTTCATATATCAGTGTCATTTCCCATGACTCGGGCGACGAGGAAGAGAAGGTTGTGACGTGTTGTTGTTGTGACTGGGGTTGTGGTATGTGAACGTGTCTGTGATTTGAGGGGTAGTGTGACCAGAGTTTGAAGTGTAACGTAACTTGTAGTCTGGTGTTGGGGGTTGTGACCTTTACTTGTCCTTGGTTCAGTTGTGTGAAGCGACATGAATGAGTCAGCTGACATGTCTCGCGACAAGAGTAGTAGCCTAATGGGAGTAGTGTGTGTGTGTGTGTGTGTGTGTGTGTGTGTGTGTGTGTGTTTGTGTATTACAGGAAGTTGTACGAAAGACCAGATTGCGTGTTGTTTATCGGTTGTAGTAGGCATATGGGGATGGTTATTGGTGGGGATGTGACGACGCTTGGCAGGCTTAGTGCTTGTTACTGGGTTTAGGTTAGCACTTGTTAACCTAGTGGGTACATAGTTCTTATTAGTGTTTGGTCACGAGGCTGCAAGTTACTGGGTGTTGTGAGTGCCTAAGCCTCTTTGTAAGTCACATTAGTGATTGTTAGTGAATGGAGTATTGCATGTTATTTGGTCATAATAAAGCTTGTTCGTGAATTATGGTAGTCTAGCGGTATTGCATGTCAAGTTAGGGTCATTAGCCTAATTACTGTAAGTGTAGGTCATGTAGGTCATGGTCGAGGGTTAGTGGTCATGTGGGTTATGGTAACTTCACTGTGATGCTATTTGTTACATAACCACCATAACCCAGTAACAAGCCCATTGGTGTCATAGTTCTTGCTTGTAAGTCATGGTAGTGCGGGTGGTGTCAATAAGTACTGTATAAGGCATCTGAAAGTTAAATATGTTATGTTGTGATTTTGAGAATAAAAAGTACGTTTGTGTTTTTAGACGAATGTGTAGCGTGTTTCTAGCTGGTTGGTCATATCTACTTTGAGACTATAATTAAGAATTTTGTATTTATGTGTGCGAGTGTCAGTGGTAGGTAGCACCGTCTCTGACCTACCTTGTCTCCCACAGCTGATGCAGATGGCGACGCACCCTGACATCCTGCGGCTCCTGCCGGAGTCTTGGATCACGCCGCCACAACACTTAACCTCATCCGTGCCCCTCGACATGTGGGGGAGGTTCGATATTGAGAATGATCGCGCCTTGGCCGTAATGGACCACAACATGACCTTCCCTACGGACATCGGGGACTTCATTCCGGGAGAGAGCAAGACACCCCATCACATGGGTGCACCGCCGACACCACCACACTCCCCTCCCACAGAGCACGACCTCGACGACTTGGTAGCCTCTATACCAGAAATTCTAGAGTCCCCTTCGGCTACCCCTCCATCCGATATCAGTGACATTCTGTCTGATCTGGAAGGTATGGAAATGACTCCCATGTTTCGGGCGCCTGGGTACTCTTGGTGGGCACCAGTGGCGCCCCCAGTGCCCGAAGTATCGCTCAAGCGCGACATAATGTGGGGCGGTGGCACTTGTTGCCAGGCCTTGTTGGAGCCACCCATCAAAAAAGAACGACAAGAGTCCGAGTGTTCGGCGGACGCGGCGCTCAGGGACGCCCTCAAACAGGAAGATATCTCTGAAGACGACGACGACTTTGAAGACAACCTCCCTGATACGCCCTCCGGCACCGACAGCGACTGTGACGCTGACGACCACATGAGCGAGACTTCCAGTAATAGCGGCAGCCCGAGAAGTACAAATAGTGCGTCGCGGTATAGTACCAGCAGTACCGTGTTCAGGAACAGTAGCTGTACCCCCTACGTGACCCCATCAGTGAACTTTGAACACGATTACTGTGGCAGAGTGCCCGAGCCTGATGCCCACAGCATGGCAGGCATCCTCACCCCCTCAGACACTGGTGAGTAAACCCTTCCTTACTAACAATGGAATCGTCTCGTTCCAGCCTTCCTCCTCTTACTTTCCTCAACGCCATGTTTCACTCCCGTTGAAGTGTTAACTACTAAATGTTAGCGCTTTCCTAATTTCCACATCATTATTCATCTTTTACTCTGCAATCTCTTTCATTTCACAAGTTTTATTAGTACACAAACGAAGGACATGTAAAAAATACAAAGAACACGTGAACGATATATTTTACATTTTTATAGCTTCGAAGTTTCCTTTAATTGTACTGTTTACATTACTGGAGTGACTTTCTATGAAGTTATCAGAATATACATCTCTGTAGAATGAGGCGAGCTGGAGCACAGCTTCCGCCATCTATTGGGCGTGCCGCGAGCTGAGGGACCATTGTTGCCATGACTGGGTGGCGGCTAACCTTAAAGAACTTATCTCTTTTATTACCGCATCAAATTTATCCCTTATATTATATATATATATATATATATATATATATATATATATATATATATATATATATATATATATATATATATATATATATAGAGCACCAGAGGTGGTACCCCTATATATATATATATATATATATATATATATATATATATATATATATATATATATATATATATATATATATATATTGCACCAGAGGTGGTACCCCTATATATATATATATATATATATATATATATATATATATATATATATATATATATATATATATATATATATATATATGTCGTACCTAATAGCCAGAACGCACTTCTCAGCCTACTATTCAAGGCCCGATTTGCCTAATAAGCCAAGTTTTCATGAATTAATGTTTTTTCGTCTACCTAACCTACCTAACCTAACCTAACCTAGCTTTTTTTGGCTACCTAACCTAACCTTACCTATAAATATAGGTTAGGTTAGGTTAGGTAGGGTTGGTTAGGTTCGGTCATATATCTACGTTAATTTTAACTCCAATAAAAAAAAACTGACCTCATACATAGAGAAAAGGGTTGCTTTATCATTTCATAAGAAAAAAATTATAATAAATATGTTAATTCAGGAAAACTTGGCTTATTAGGCAAATCGGGCCTTGAATAGTAGGCTGAGAAGTGCGTTCTGGCTATTAGGTACGACATATATATATATATATATATATATATATATATATATATATATATATATATATATATATATATATATATGTCGTACATTATAGCCAGAAGGAACTACTTGACCTAGTATGCAAAGACCGATCTGCCTAATAGGTAGTGATTTCTTTTACTAAAAAAGTTTCCACTGGGTTTATTTGAATTAATATTATTATATTATATTAGTAACATGAATTATCAAATTAAATACTGTAATCATTAACTAAAAATCGATTTAAATCTTTATTTTGTATAGTATCTAAGGTTACTATATCTTTCCTTATGTTAAAACTCCGTTAAACTCTGCTATTTAAACGTGAACGCGCGATACAGCTTGTGTGCCTATTCAAAACAGGTAACCTGTGTGCTTGTAACCTTCTTCATTTCTCCTCCTCTTATCCCCAAGCAACTAGGGCGTCTCTTATTTCCTCTTAGTTGACTTTTGTTTTACCTGCCGGAATGGCATGTTAGGCGTTGAGGTGACACCTTAGTTTTGAGGTCTTGAATCTCAGGATTTACCGACCTTCCAGGAAGGACATAATCGCAGTAATTAGTATCAAGATGGACTCGTAAAGGTTGTGGGAGAAGAAATCGAGCTTTTAAAATTGCTTTTTTTAAGCTCGATTTCTATAAAAATGTTAAGCTTGATAAAAAAAATTTGTTTAACCTATTTGCTCTGTAGTTGTGTTGTCTGCGTTTTCGACGAATGACTTCTGTCTCCTCTCTTCTCTTGGAGGCAGGTACGTACTTTTTACATCTTAGTTCATAATTACACAGAAATTTTACTAACAGGTTCGTGAAATTATGAATATTTCGATAAATCTTGAAACGACTGTCTTGTCAAATTTCTTTCCTGAGAAAATCCTCCAGTCATCTCTTTTCCCGCGCTGGCCGCTGATTGGTCCTATGGCATCCCGGGAGGAGCGCGCCTATTGGTCCATTGTCCCACATCTGCCACCATGAGCGCGGGTACATTGATGCCATCCAGGGGCCCACACCCTCGCCAGGTCCCGCACAAGTATTGATTATTTCCATCTACTTCTCCTTCAACTTGATTTCTACACTCCTTTATTGGATTTCTCGAAAATTTAGACAAGATTTTGTTTCTTATAATTTGAAGCATATTAATTATTGGCTCCCGTTTGCTAAACTATATACACTTCAATTTCTGATTTCCATTTTTTTTAGTCATCTCGGGCTTGTGTTTTCAATCTGTCAAGACATGATGTTTTATGACCTATTTGCTTTTAAATTTGCCCGATTTTTACGGCGCTCTTCATATTTTTAACGTCCAACTGGAATTCTACTTTCGTCTTCGTTACTTTTAGTTATTTCACATAGAAATGATGGTAATTGATGACCACAACTTGGCCCTCATTGCCTTACCCGTCAACCCCCCCCCTCCCCTACTTCTCCTCCCCTCTCACTACACTGTCATGAACATCTTCACGGGGTAGGCAAGAGGGGGTGAAAAAGGGAGGTAAAAACCTGTCTGGGAGAACAATGTCGGACCTTCCCTCCTATAGCCCCTCCCTTCTCTCACCCTCCCTCTCACTTCCCTGTCCTATACACCCCCTACCATCCAGTATCTCCTCTCTACCCTCTGTAATATCTATCCTTTATTCCGCACCATTTCATTACCCTTCTGTTACATTTCCCTATCATGTCCTTTCCAACAATTATTCCTGTCCTCGCCTTTCCTATCCTTCAATTCCTCCCTATTATTTCTTCCCTTCCAGTTGTCCCCTCAACTTCCATTCCACTCTCGTCTCATGTTATATCTTCAATTTTTACACTTTCTCCTCTCACATTATCCCTTCTCCCAATCTCTCATTATCCTCACCCCCTTATTCCCCCTTTCTCATACCTCCCGGCCTTACGCAAAAGAAATCTAAAGGAAAAAATGGTGTTTCGCATCTTTAATTTCCTGCTTCCGATTCCCTCAGTTCTCGGTCTCTCCCCACCGCTCTCTCCCCACCACTCTTCCCCACCACTCTTCCCAACCCCCACTTCCCATATCGCTTCCCTGTCCTTTCCCACCACCTCCAATATATCTGCCTACCAGTATAACTTTTTTTTCCTTTTCCATTCCACTCTCCTACCCTCTATCGCCCTTCCTCATCACCCTCCTCATATTCTTCAGTATTGTCCTCTTACTCTGATTTCTCATTTCCCCTAGTCTCTCTCTCGGCCTCCTTCCACCTCTCCCCGCCCATTTTGCCCACCACCTTCCCTATCTCTTCGCCATCTGGAAATGAAACCGAGCATATACCTAACATACAATTGGAATATACTGGGAAGTCGGGTTGCAACTATGTACAATAACCTTACTGAAGCGAGAAATGTGGTATATTCCTAGTGGAGTGCCATAAATACAATCCGAGAACATATGAACATCAGAGGGCCACGGCTCTGATGTTCTTCTCCAGTCTCTCCGCCTCTTCAGTCTCCTCCAACCTACCGACTATAGGTAAACATTTCTTAATCACCTCCCTATCTCTCCACCTCCCCATCTTTACCCTCTTCCCAAACCCCTCATTCAAGAGGCCGGCCGCACCGTCATCTCTATACACATGAGTGTTTTCTCTCGGTTCGACCTGCCCCATTGAGGCTAAATTAAGTTTTTCGCTTCCCCAACATAGGAATCAAACATTATAGTGTGCAGAAATGGCACCTTTCCCAGTGTTTCTAGCCTTCCAGCTTTGTTCCTCCACCGCCCTCCTTCCTCTAACCCATTCCCTCCTCCTTCCCTCTCCTTTTGCATCCGCTGAATCTGGCCAGGGTTTCGAGGCTCTTGAGAGGCATGAACACAAGTTTTGGAATTTGTCGTTGAGAGAGAGGGGCGTGTCGTCACCATTGTTGGAGTGAGTCGTTTCCCTAGTTGAGGAATTAGGGCGTCGAAGTCAGCGCTGAACGAATAGGGGTGACAGAGTATCTTCACCGTCGTTGAGAAAGTGTCAGCGTCGTTAAATCAAGGGATGCAAACACCGTCGTGGAGATGGTGATTTCGTAGACGTTGATGCAGAGTGTAATCGCCGCCATTAAGAAATTGGAGTTTGCTGTTGATGTCGTTTTTCTGTCCGTCCTTTTTTTGGTGTTCCCCATCTCGAACATTTTATCTTTGCCTCCTCTCCTAACGTCTCCTCTCTTCCTTATCTTCTCTCCGGCGTGACAAGATCCAACCTTATTTTCAGTGTAAGTACTCTTAAATTCCTTAAGTGTGGCTTACAAGCCGAGGTTACATAAGCCACTCTGGTCATCACATAGGCTTAATGATGTTATTTCGAAGACTTCATTGTCTATATTAATTTTTATTTTCATGAAGTTCTCGAGCTTCACGTACGCTGTCACACAAGGTCCTCCCATCGTGAGAAGACTTATTTAAGACTTCTTGAAATCTTTCAGAGAGAATCTTATTCTTATCACTTTCCATCTGCTCTCTCTCTTGTTTAATCTTCAATTATCTGATAATTTATAGGGTTATTGCATGGAATTACATGCAAGTCCAACTTGCATGTAACTTGCAAATAAGCAAATCGTAACTTGCTCTCTTCTACTTACGGTTTTCATTTGTTCTATGCTTCCTGTATATCCTCCATGTTCCTACCTCTCTCTGCCCCACGCTCTCCCTCCGCCCTCCGCCCACGTGTCTGCATCACTCATTGTTGTGTGTTTCAGAGTGGGTCTTCCCTTTCATTATTTGAGGTGCGTTAAAGAGGACCAATCGGTAAGGTCCGGGGGAACGAACAAGGGTGGTCGGCAGCCCTCTCCTTCCTTCCCCGTCCCAGTCCTTGCGACGGGGAAGGAAGGAGAATACATAGCAATGGTAGAGATAGACTGTTCAGGTAGCCAGTCT